CCCACATACTCTGTATCGGCACCAATGCTAGTATCGGTGCATCCCTAACGTTTGATGATCTGGAGCGCACTAGCAAAATCACAAAGGAATGGCTCAAATAGAAGAAAAAGTCATAGTACGCCTCCTCTGCAGTAAAAATCCTTCTTGCTCACAAGTTCTTAATTCAGATCACAAAGTTCCACTTTAAATAATCTTTGTCTTTGCTTTGCTGCTGTTGTGCGTTTGCTGAGCATCATAGCCTGCAGTTCTCTACAAATGGCAATGATATGACTGCAGACTGTCATCAAAAACACTGACAATATGGAGGAGATGTGCTGCAGCCAATCAGATGGATGCGTCATCTACTGTCACATGCTTTAGGCTGATATCAGACATGTTCTGATTCTGTGCTCTGGTTCCCAGTTACATCATTTCAGATTTTTTTTTCCTTTTTTAACGCTCAGCCGGTGTGACGGAGCAAGATGCTAAATGGTATTTCACGCTGCTGTTCCCATTTTCTGAGTTGCCAGGGAGAGATTATATGACTTGTCTGTCATGGTGTTCCTGTGTGTAAAGCTGTTTTCCAGCATCCCAATCTACATTTATCACAACTGCAGATACTTATTATTGTGAGGTTGGCTGCCCTGATATCTACTGCTGAGTCTCCCCCTGCTGGCCACAGGGAGTATTGTTCTATGTATTTGTCTTCGTAGCAAATTATTATGCTGCAAATAAATAACAGTGCAAGAAACTGTAAGGAGCTATTGTAACACAGAGTTAATATGCCAATAAAGATCGGCAAAGCAGGTTGTTATTATTATTGGGTGGCACAGTGGCGTAGTGGTTAGCAACTCTGCTTTGCAGTACTGGGGGTCGCCATCCTGGTCAGAACACTATCTGCAAGGAGTTTGCATGTTCTCCCTGCACTTGCATGGGTTTCCTCCCACACTCCAAAGACATGCTGGTGGGTTAATTGGCTCTTGTCTAAATTGTCCCTTGTATGTATGCATTTGAGATAGGGACCTTAGATTGCAAGATGCTTGAGGGCAGGGACTGATGTCAATGTGCACTATGTAAAGGGCTGCGTAAAATTGCCGGCACTATTATTATTATTATTATACAGGATTTATATATCGGCAACAGTTTGCGCAGCGCTTTACAATATAAGGAAGACATTACAATCACAATACAATTCAAGACACGATGGTAAGGTTGTAAATACTTGTAATAAATAAATACATTGCATTCATGCACATGTTCCAGAGTGCCTTGCAGACGAAATGTTAAATGGCTAATGCCAATGATATCTGTGGGGTCAGGTGATCCATATCTGCAGTGCAAGGATCTCCCTGCTCCTACTTAATTGATTCTGTAGACATATGCTTTCTCCAGCTATCTTGCTGTTTCTTGATCATGATCCCCCAAGTTTTCATCTCACCATTCATGAGTGTGGGTGGGCAGGTTTGGCATAGGTAAACAAAGCCCTGTTACTTTAATAAGATGGCCATCTCCACCCAGACAAAGCCTGGAACAAGGCATGGTAAGTCAGTCCTGGGGATAAGATCAGCTGCAGTGATTCACAGGAAATACCAGTGACTGGTCTTTTGTGCTCCGTTTGTTTTTTAGATAGAGCTTCCATTGTATGGGTCCTCTTTAAAAGTTAGGTGGGGTCCGGGATCACTTGCTGAGAGGGCTTGCTTGGGGTATGTCTGACTCGCGTTGGCTTCTCCAACATGTTAACATTTGGCATCTGTTCTAATGTAGCATCAGCCTAAGCCCCAAATATAAAAGAGTACCAAAAACTGATTTCTGTCACAGCACCTTACCCCCTTTTCTTCCCAGTAATTGGGCTTTTCCTAGCCAGTCCAGATCACAGAGCATGCAATAGCCTATTGCCTTGAGCCTCTTACATAACCGATACTCATCATCAAGTTTTTGTTGACTAAGCTCAGCAGATTGTGGATTGCACCATGTTGGAGGATCTGTGCTCGGCAATGTGAAGTCATTGATTTGGCTCCTACAGAGGTAGCCAATCAATGCCTTTATCCATAGACAGATCATCTGCATCCTAGATCTGGCTTTCGGGTCTGGTGGATATCCAGGGGGTTTCACTACGATCAGCATTCCCATGCTTTAAACCAGGGTGGATAGCGCAATCAGCAGGGAATCGGAGCATTTTGAATCCATAGAGAAGGACTGTTTTGGGTCACAGGTATGTATTTGGGCTACAACATATGAATTATTTCTGTCCAAATTAACGAAGTATTATTCTAGGACTGCAGCTAACGATTTTTTTCATAATCGATTAGTTAGCCGATTTATTAATTTCGATTAATCGATTAGGTGTATTTTAAAAAAAAAATCTCTCGCTCTCTCTCCTCCCTCCCTCTCTCTCCTCCCTCCCTCTCTCTCCTCCCTCCCTCTCTCTCCTCCCTCCCTCTCTCTCTCTCCCCCTCCCTCTCTCTCTCCCTCTCTCTCTCTCCTTCTCTCTCTCCCCCTCCCTCTCTCTCCTCCTCCCCTCTCTCTCCTCCCTCTCTCTCTCTCTTTCTCTCTCTCTCCTCCTCCCTCTCTCTCTCCTCCTCCCTCTCTCTCTCTTTCTTTCTCTCTCTCCCAAACCAACTAATCGATAATGAGAATAGATGCTAACTATTCTCAGAATCGATTTAATCGATTAGTTGTTGCAGCCCTATAATAGTCTTATATGTTGATCTTGTTTATTAACAATGGAGGAGAAAGGACAAATAATATATTTTTTTGTTTTAAAATCATCTATATCTATAATTATTGGGGGCTCCAACCTCATAAAAAGCCCCCAATATCTTGATGGACTTTTTTCAACTTAACTATGTAAATATTTATAAGATTATCTCCAACTTGTATTTGGGGACCGTGCTCTTCCATTATAATGTAGTATAACCTCAGACTCCACTAGGCCCTTGGCTCTATTGATTCCTTTTATTTTTCTGACCTATCTTTACTATACACATCCTACATTCAAGCCAGTACCGTCTCTGTTATTGTATTCTGCATCTCAGAGGACACTGTAGTCTTGGTGGTTGTTCCCAGTCCTATGTTGAAATATCATTGATGCTTGTCTTGCCTTTAAGTTCTGCCAAGAGTCTGCCATGGGCCGCTCCCAGAAGCCTTGTGGTGTGGGGGGGTTTGGGGAGAGAAACCACTGTGAAAATTATAACCGTCTTGAAGATATTTATACACTATATAAACACAAGTGGATTCTTGGCACCCCCTCTCTGCCTACCTTCACTTAAGACATTCTGACCACCCAGGACCCAGGCCATGTTTACAGCATGAGTCTGAAGCAGGGTACATTACAGGGACACACTGGGGGAGACTGAAGTCCGTCATATAGGCTTTGTATAAAGATACTTTTAACTTCTTTATGACTAGTTTTCCAGTCAGAGCTTGTACTGATTGACATTGAAAGGGAGCACTTGGCACGTGGTTCCAGCACCTACCAAGTATGTTGTGCTGAGTACAGTTACACTATATGGCATAAAATGTATGTGGAAATCCCTCCAAATTATTCAGTTTGGATGCACAAGGTCAGGTCCATGGTCCAAGGTCAGACATGGTTTGATGAGTTTGGTGTGAAGGAACCCGAGTGACCGGCACAGAGCCCGGGCCTCAACCCTATTGAACACCTCAGGTACGAGCTGAGATGCCAATTGCAAGTCAAAACTTCTCATCCAACATCAATACCTAATAAATGCTTATTAGACACAAATCGCCACAGACACTCCACAATTGTGTGGAAAGCCTTCCTAGATGAATGGAGGCTGTTATAATTGCAAAAGTGGTGAAGGGGCAGCAACTTTATATTAATGTCTATAGTTAATTCCCAACAAGGTCATATATGTATGATGGTCCACAAAGGTGTGGCCATAAAGTGTATTTGCATTCACCAGGTATGGTTTTGCATTGAGGTCTTCATGACGTGTCTCTCCACTGCTTTAGAGAGTCTGTGCACAGGTCCAGTGCCAAAGTAGTTACATTGGTGCTGGATGGAGAAGAACCATGATGATGATCTTAAATGGTGGGAGACTGTTGTATGGTATAAACAGTCATGTAACAGCCTTAAGCAAATAATTGTATCGGCCCCACAATGTCGGAGACTGAAAAGGCTGGAGAATGTACCCTCATCAGCGATTTCCTGGGCAATTATGGGGAAATCGTCATGTACTGAATAGTAGCTATGCATATTGGCTGAAGAAGGTATTCCACTGTTCATTTCCAGATGATCATATACCTTGGTTTGTAACCAGCTTAATGAAACTCTGTCACTTTGTCTCTTTAGGCCACAGTGACAGTATCTACACAGGTCCCCACCCAGGCACTTATACTTATCCAGCTATGCTCGCTTGCCACCTCCCATCACAGCCAGAGCCCTTCCCAACAGACAGGTGCTTTGAGGTTGAGCACATGACCTCCCCTATGGGACAATCCTTAATGTGAGCAGCCAATCACCATTGTTGAACACTTTCACGTTGGGCAGGACATAGCAGTCAATACCAGAGCTTAGGCAGGTGGGGAGGCAGCAAGGGAGCATGGCTTGGTAAGTATACATGTTGGGGGGTGGACTATGTGCAGATGATATAGGGAAAGTAACATGCCAAGCAATACAGAGTACTGTTGCTGACCTTGACCTGCTAATTGTTTTATTGTCATGCTAATTATCTGTCTTTTCCACCAACAGTAACTGTAGAAAGGCATGTATTTGCTTTTGAATTGCTTCCCTTCCTCATACAAATCATTTTGAATGTAAAGCAGCTTGAAGCAGCTCAGGAGCAACTTCTAATGTCTTCAGAAGTGAGTCCAAAGCACATCAAACTCCATTGTGAATCCGAGCAACACAAACCAAATTGCATTGAACTTGTTTCTGAATTTGAAGCCCACCTACGTGAATCCTGAGACTTTTTCTAAATAGCGTTTAACTTGCTCTTTCAGCTTCAGAAATTAGGCTTGCTCCACGCAAATTCTAACAAAGCTTATGTCTCTTGCAGATCTCCTGACCATGAAGGAATATCATTGTCTGCTGCAGATGTTGTGCCCAGACTTCCCCAAGGACCTGACACAGAAAGCTGCAAGGTGAGTGAACACAGACGGACACTTTAGAAATGTATAAAAAGAACATAGAGGGGAATTTAATAAGACTGGAGCAGGCAGAAATTGGAGCAGCTGTGCATAGTAACCAACCAACTTCCAGCTTTCATTTTCAAAGCTTAACTGAACAGAATGAAGATGGAAGCTGATTGGTTACTGTGCACAACTGCTGCAGATTGTCTCTGTTCCAGTCGTAGGAAATTCCCCCAATAGTGTGGTGAATCATTTATTAAAGGACAAATAAAACAAAATAATTCACTTACAAGTTTTAGAACTTTTATGGCAAGCTTTTAAAAAACACAGTGATCCTTAGGCCTGATCAATATATGTATACAGCGAGCAATGATCTCTTCTCAGCATTGGGTAAGCAACAGGAATGCCAGGAAGTCGCCTCTGAGCTCCTCTTTACTCCTGTGTGTCCGGACCTCCTCCCATTAGAGTGCCTTCCAGGTCCCAAAAGAGTCTCCACCTCCTCTTTTTGGTCAATCATGTGCAGGTTGGTAGACTACAAGACTGAGGACATCTTGTGGCAGAAAAGAGGTACTGCGGAGGACAGCTTTGGATTGGAGGTAGGTATTGCAGCCAACACTGCTTAAAAAAAACCAAGGGGGGGGGGGGGGGTTGA